CAAACTTTGTCTCTGGTCTGTGGGTATTTTGTTTTTTCTTTCCATTCTGTGTTGGATTATTCGCTGTTCCCACCACTTAAAACTGTGCACTGGAACTAATTTTTTATCCTTTGGTTTCTTCTAAAATGGAGGAACTTCCTGTGGGGACCGCACTTGAGCCCTGTGGTTGAGCTAAATTGCTGCTTTGCTGTTGATTCCTCAGGGAAGACCTTTTGTGCAGCTCAGGTTTTAATTGTTGACCCCGTATGTACTTCTGGGTCTTATGTACACCTTGGTTGTGTAGAAACTCTGGTCTGGCCTGAGATTTTCAGCAAACTGCACTCCCTTCCTGATCTATCTCCACTGAGTGGTCCTCTGCTGATTAGGGGGCAGATCAGCTGTCCATGCTGTGCCCCAGTGTTCGCCCGGTGGGTCTGTCTTCCCCCACCACCCACACTCTAAACACTTCCCATTGGATGGGCCGTGCACTGGTCCCTTGGGATGATTCACTGGCCTCTGAGAGGATCTTTTTTCCAGTTGTTGTGGCTCCTCCTATGTGGGTCCACGGGAACCCTGTTAGTGGTCTTGCTGGCTTGAGGGCCACCAAGTCCCTCTTCTCCCCTGCCTCATCCAAGCAACTTCATCTGAAAGGCACAGCTGCAGCTTTTGCCATCTCTTGCTTCATGCACTCACCAGCTCCAGCCTTGAAGTGGCCAGGATTTGAAATGGTAGGAGTGGTCCTTTCTTTCTCTCATCATGGATTCTCCCACATTCATGAACTCGGTAGGTCTCTCCTCCGCTTGCCCTGAGCTCTAGCAGACCCAGTTTGGCTGTCGTTGCTTTTTAATAGTTGTAAATTGGTTGATTTGTGGGGGAGACTGATGCTGGGGACCGTCCATTCCGCCTTCTTGACAGGAAGCTCCCAGTCTCAGGAATGTAAATTGATACAGCCATTGTGGAAAATAGTATGGAGGTTCCTCAGGGAACTAAAAATAGATCTACTGTATGATCCAGCTATCCCACTACTGAGTAGATACCCAAAGGACATGAAGTCAATAAATCAAAAAGATATCAGCCCTCTTATATTTATTGAAACACTATTCACAATAGTAAAAAGAGATGGAATCAACCTAATGCCCATCAACAGATGATTAAAAAAACTCATATATATACACACAGTGGAAGACTTCTCAGCTATGAAAATATGAAAATCAATCATTTGCAGCTACATGGATGAAACTGGAAACCATCATGTTAAGTGAAGTGATCTAGGCACAGAAAGGCAAATACCACATGATCTCACTCATGTGGAATTCAAAAAGAAAAGAAAAAGTGGTTCTCATAGAAGTAGAGAGTAGAATAATGTTTACCAGAGGCCTAGAAGGAAGGGAGGGCAGGGGCAAGGAGAAATGGTAGACTAATGGATAGAAAACTGTGCTATCTACCCTAAGTGAGTCACTATGCAGTATATGCAGGTATTGAAAGAGCACACTGTACCCTACAAATATGTATAAGTAAATGTTAAAATAATTTTTTTTAAATACGCACATAAAAACAGTAGGGAGTATGGAACTATAGAATAATAAGAACTATTTAAAGACCTATAAAATTATTCTTTTCAGGCAAACAGCGTCCTTGGATTTTTCTTTGTTTTTCATTCTAGGAAAGAACTTGACACAAGGGAGTTTTTTAGTGATGCTGAGTTTCAGGATGCATTAGCTAAAGAAATAGCCAAAGAAGAGAGAAAGCATGAGCAACATATAAAAGAATACCAAGAGAAAATTGATGTATTAAACCAGCAGTATATGGATTTAGAAAATGAATTTCGTATTGCTTTAACTCTTGAAGCAAGAAGATTTGAAGATGTAAGAATTGGCATCTAACTCTTTATTGAAAACAGAATTAACAAGATGTGGTTTGATGAGAGGTCTATGTTTTAGACTCCTAGCTCTATGTACATGTTGGCTATATGATCTTAAGCAAATTACATAAATTTTAGAGCCTTAATTTTCTCAAATAATAGCTACTCTTCATTGCTGTTGCAAAAATTAAGTAAAATTATAAATGCTGGAGCGAAGAGAGCACTGGAATAGGAATTGGGGAACCTGAATTCCTTCTTGTTACTATAGATCAGGGGTTGGCAAAATTAAAGTCCCAAGCCCAAATATGGCCCAATGCCTGTTTTTTTTGTTTTTAGTTTTTTTAAATAAAGTTTTATTGCAACAAAGCCATGCTTATTTGTTTACATATTATCTATGTCTGCTTTTGCATTACAAAAGCAGAGTGGAGTACTTGAAACAGACCATATGGTCTGGCCTGCAAAGCCTAACAGTTTACTGTCTGGCTTTTTATGGAAAAGTTTTGCAACCCCTGCTATAGAGAAGCAGTCTTGCTCCTAAGGTCATTCCCACTTGGTATACACGGGATCCCATTTCCTCTTGCCTACGCAAGGTATGGCATCATCAGATGTTCCCTCTAGCTCTTTTTACATCAGCAGTTTTTCCCTCTATATTGGATCATTCCCTTCAGCATAGAAACATGCTATAATTTCCCTCATCTTAGGAAAAATCTCTTGATCCCATTCCCCCCTTTGGCTAGCACCTTGTCTCTCTGTTTCCATTTAAAATGGAACTTCTCAAAAGTATGTACCTTAATTTCATTTTTCTACAAAATTTTTGAAGTACCATCATATTTGCTGTCTCTGATTTCTCTATTTCTCTACCTTCTAACCTTCTCTGAACAGGCTCTTATCTCTACAGCTTTACTAGCATTGCTCTAGTCAAAGCCACTAGCAACATCCACATTGAAAGTCATCAGTCAATTTAGCCCTCATCTGATTTGACAGGGTTGATTTCTCCCTCCCCCAGACTCTTCCTTCACTTGGTTTCCAGAACACCACATCTCTTGATGTTCTTGGATTTCTGTTATTTCATTTCTTTTCAGTCTCCTTTGTTGGTTTCTCCTGTTTTTTCCAAAATGTTATTATTGGAGTGACCATGTTTCAGTCCTTAAACCCCTTTTCTTTTTTAGATACAGTCATTCTCTTGGTAAACTTCTCTAGCATCATTTATTAAATTTCCATTGTGGACTTTTTGTTTGCCTGGATTCTAAACGTATATCTAACCACCTATTTAACATCTCTACTTAACTGATTTTCCCCCAAAATCTTCTACTTCAGCAGTGTTGCCATCTCAATGACAACTCCATTCTTCTAGATACGTAGGCCAAAAACATTAGTCATTGTTGATTCCTCTTTTTCTGACATTCCATATTCAGTTCCTCAAGAGATTGTCACCGTTATTTAAAAAATATATCTGGCAATTTCTTACCACCTCTGTTACTGCCACTCAAGTATAAATCACATTATCTTTCACTTGTATTACTTTAAGGGCTTTTTTAATTGGTCTACCTGTTCCCATCTTTGTCCCTCTTTTCTGTTTAGACTAAACACAGCAGCTAGAATTATTCTTTTAAAATGTAAGTTAGATGATAATGCCTCTTCTCCTCAAAGATCTCCATTATCTCTCCATTTTATTCAGAGTAACAGTCAAAACTCTTCAGAATCCAGCCCTCTGATTTCATCGCTAGAATTATTCTTTTAAAATGTAAGTTAGATGATAATGCCTCTTCTCCTCAAAGATCTCCATTCTCTCTCCATTTTATTCAGAGTAACAGTCAAAACTCTTCAGAATCCAGCCCTCTGATTTCATCTCCTACTACCCTCTCCTTCATTCATGCCACTGCAGTGACATGAGCCTCCTCGCTCTTCCTCCAGCATGCCAGGCACATTCCTGCCTAGTGTTCTTTTCCGGTATATTTACATAGCTACTACCTTCCTTACCTCCCTCAAGTCATTGCTCCAGTGTTACCTTCTCAATGATTATGCCATTTAAAATTGAATCTCTGTCTCCCAACACTTCACATCCTTCTGTTTTTCACCCAAGCACATAGTATCATCCAACATAGTGTATAATTTATTGTGCTTATTGTTATATTGTCATTCCCTACCCAACAGAGTGTAAGCTTTACAAAGGCAGAGTTTTTAGTTTGTGTAGTTCATTGATACATTTCAGTGTCTAGAACAATGTCTGGCACACACCAGGCCCTCAGTATTTGTCAAACTAATGAATTCTGGTTTTAGGTCTGACATTTATTTCCTGAATGACTTTGGGCAAATATGTAACCTCTCTGGGTCTCTGTTTCAGCATCTGGAAACTAGTAAATTGAAACAAGCTATCTCTGAATTTTATTATTTTGCTAGAACTCTGTGATTCTAAAAATGAAGCATATAAACTGTTTCCAGAGCAACCATTTTCTAATTATTTGGAGAACTGTTACTTATAATGCAATTTTGAAATATAGGTTAAAGATGGTTTTGAAAATATTGCAACTGAGTTAGCAAAGAGCAAACATGCTCTTATTTGGGCTCAACGAAAAGAAAATGAGTCGTCTTCTTTAATTAAAGATCTGACTTGTATGGTGAAGGAACAAAAAACAAAACTTGCAGAAGTTTCCAAATTGAAACAGGAAACAGCAGCAAATTTACAGGTAAGCCTTTGTAACATGTTTCCTTTTTAATTATTTGCATCATTTTTTCAAGTGTGTTGTGATGATAATTTAGGAAGTACACAAAATGAACTTTTAAATGATAATTATATATTTTGATGTGTATGATAAAAGTAACGTAACTAAGGAGATTAAACTCCAGATTTCACTGATTGTACTGCTAACATAAAATAGTATTAAAGTAAAATATGTGAAATAATTTTAAGAAACATGTTGATTAAAGAGGTGCC